TACTACTGCAAATATAGACAGTAGTTAAAACATATATGGATCACTAGCGTAGATTTATGCGCAGCTTTATTCACGCTCTGGTGCACAGGCCCATGAGCACAGAACCTTCCTGCGATCCGTGCGCGAGCATGTGTATCTATGCCTTGGCTGCAACGCAGAGGGCAGTGAGAAATGTTCTGAGGGCACAGTCTGTAGATGGTGTGGTTGACACAGGGGAATCCGATTGATGGTGCAACTAAACTGCCAAGTGGGGTGGTCTACAGTTGATTGCAACACGAATAAAGGGACTAGGCTTCGACTGCAAAATTGTGCTTAGCATCCCACGACGAGTGCAGTGGACAGGCCCTTAAGAGGGATGAATACTATTCGGACAATTATTTTAGCAACGAGAATGACACTGGTATTTGCCGGTGTGTATGAAGGTCACTCCCGGAATTCATAAATGGTCAGTTATATTTCTACATGAATAAAAAAAGAAATTAAACGTATCGATTCAGCCTGTGGGAATCAACTCTTATGCAGCCAAAATAGGAGACATCTATGAAAAGGAATTCGGAGCCTATGTGGAGCGAAATCCAAACCAAATAAATGTGCTGTGGACGTTAAGGGTATAAATCGGGCATTTGTACATCCGAATAGTGATCCTCCCGTTTCATTGATTCCGGAAGACGCTGCTAATATAACCCCGTTCTCGAAAGAAGAAATATTTAAACTCCTCCGTACAACTAAATCATCCACTGTTATTGGTCCCGACGGTCTATCTTCATCTCTTCTGAAGCATGGTAGCCTTGCTCTAACGGACGCTTTTACTTCAATCATCAACACGTCACTTAGTTCGTATTCTATTCCCGATTGCTGGAGACCCATCACGATCATTCCTATTCCAAAACCGTGTAGATCCAGCACCCTGTCCAAACGTTTCCGTCCCATTGCTCTAACGTCATTGGCAGAACGTGCCATTATCAAACGACTTTCTGTTTCCTTCTTTACCCCTGAAGACCCTCTCCAGTTTGTTTATAAATCAAACAGGTTCACTTTGGATGCGGCGGCCTCCCTCGTTCATCACGTTACCAAAATTTTTCAGCTTCGAAGACTTAGACAATTCAATGCCAAGAAAAAAAATCATTTAGCTTTTTGTCTATCAATGTGTTTTTCCCGTTCTTCTTTATTGTCCCCCGGTGTTTTTTGCTGATCTACTCAAGAAAGACTTCAAAAATTTTGGCCGAGGCTTGTCGATTATCAGTCGTGTGTCTTTTATGCCCGTTGATGATCCATCTAAAACCTGTGTGAACTTCACTTGTCCGCATGTGAAACGTTTGCAGAGAAAATCCTCTCTGACTCTAATTATCCTTCACATGGCGATCTATCCAAATACTGCTCTCACACATCTGCGAGTTC